TACGGCAGTGAAGCATCAGTGCCAACACTGATGTTGCTGTCATTGATGATGATGATGATGACTTGTACATAACAAGACAAGCTAATGGTGGTTTTATTGGGATTGGGGAGGAGTAGTATCGCTTTTTTGTGAACATAACATTATCAACACCCCGTTTGTACAAAAATTGATGATGATGATGATGACTTGTACTATACATAACAAGCTAATGGTGGTTTTATTGGGATTGGGGAGGAGTAGTATCGCTTTTTTGTGAACATAACATTATCAACACCCCGTTTGGTTTGTACAAAAATCAATTCATCTTGAATTTCATCACCTGAACAAAAACAAGGTTAAAAACCGTGTTAATGGTGGGACACTGATAACATGCGAATAGATGTGTGTACTGAAGACAAACACGTAGTATGAGGATGGATTCGAACCGTAGACCTCAGCCTACCGGAAGAAATCTTAACCAAATGAGCGATCGAAGCCGGTTCCACAACTACTCACTTACACCTACGGACTTTGCAGGGGATTAGCAACGTTTATGTATGATTAAATGTATAATGAATGTGTTAGCCCTGTTACTGAGCCCCATACGTGATCTTCATTCCAAAAATGCCTTTTGCACACCTAGACTATTGTGAAGGTTACTTAAGGGGATTAGTCAGGACGCCGACAAACATCACTTGTAACTCCATCAGACAGGTATGCCCAACCAAGTGGGAAATACAAGTGACGCACCTTCAATTATCAGGTAGAAGTGGCCGGTTTAGGCTGCTCAAGTTTACTTAACAACGAAATCAGCACAGTTTAGGCGCGATGATCTCGGCAGGAAGGTGAACTAGTGAACAGATATATACCAGGCAGATAAACTCAGACCGCTTGTAAAAGCCGAAAAGCACTAGATGAGTGTAAGTTATCTATTTAGGCGATCGGTCGATCGCAACCAGTAAGTGCTGCTGGCGATACAGATGATCAAATCTTCCCATTGGACAGGGGTTTGCAGGGAGAATAAATGATTTTGACGAAAGAGCCCACCCCAAAAATGTCTAGACACACGGAATGACCTGGCCAGATGAGAGCACTGCAGCCTCTCCTCTGCTTTGTACACGAGAACTCACAATGTTGAAAAAACTAAACGCCAAGCTAGCCCCAGTCAGGTCATACCAACAGACTGCAAATAAATAGCGCTTACTTTTCCGACGTTCTGAGTTTCGCTCCAGTGAAAAGTATACAAGTAACCGGGCGATTGAGTTGCTTTATGCATGTGCCGAAGGAAGTCAAGGTTGAAGCCTGAAAAGTCCGCAGAAATAAAAGAGGGCCAGAAGGAACGGGGGGAAATCCAATACAACGTTAACTTATGACGACCAACTCCCGCGAAGAGGGTAACGCGAATTGGTGAGTTTACCAGATTTCATGAGGTAACTTCCATATTATCCTTGAAAACAAATTAATAAACCGCTCAGCTGCAACACCCCTTCCTTCCAGACTGTCTGATTGAGCGCTTGGTGAAGGCACCTTCGAATGTTTACGGCAGGCCAGCACCAGGTCACCCACTCTTTTCACCTCTTTTTATTCTAGTAATCATTCAGCTGTAACAGCCTTTCGGTGCCCAGCTGCCACCCGAAGGAGGCACGAGGGCTTGGATACTGCAAGCTTGGACAAGTGTACACAAGGGAAGTCGAGATCCAAATGTCGGGTTCGAACCGCGGACTTTCCGGTCAGTAAGTTCGCGATCTAACCACTAAGCTACCTCGCCATAAGTCTTGCAAACCAGTGGTTCTTGATTTAAGGGGCCACTCAAATATATCTGTTTTCACAAACGCATCCCGAAAACAACCGGGCTGTTCGTTTTGAACGGTGTGGTGTACTGCTTCTCTGTGACAGATTTTAATAATAACTAAGCTAAAAGTCGAAATAATGCTAGCTAATTGGCTGTTAACCAGGTCATAGTTGATCTATTCATCAAGCTTGCCCAATGACTTGCGTACAAGGGATCGGATCATAAATACAAAACTAACCGCACCACTTCACTTATATTCTTTCCTATCAACCTCACAAAAGCCACAACAGTCCCACCAAGGTGCATTGGCGTGCACTGGAAAGCATTGTCATAGCCACTACCAAACCATCACACACAACTGTGTGTACCTCTGACACCATCAGTCATCGCAACACTTGAATGCAGTGACTGACCATTCCATATTGCACCAATAAGCTTTGTTAGGTAGGTAGGTTGTCATGGATTCTCTGCCTTCTTTGAAAAGAACTAGATACAGACGGTCCGGTCCTGGTGACTTCTCACGTTTCAGTGCGGATATTTTGTACTTTATTTATTCTTCTGGCGGGCGAATAAGGCTCACATTCTATTCGCCCATGCGTGCTATCTCCGGAGACTGTGTTGCAAGAGGCCAGCGAAAGTGTTCCTTGTTCAGTTGGAATTTTTGCGAGTGAATTAAGGAGTCGGCTTTCTCACTTATCGTTTCAATGACCGTCGCTATCCTAGGGCCCATCAATCGTATCAGCTGATACAGGGCAGTAGCAAAAACCTTCGCCATCTCCTGAGCTTGCGGTATCCTCCAAAGCTTTCGGTCTTTCCTTAGGCTCATCACTATTCGGCGTTTGAGGGATTTTTCGTGCGCCGTGGTATCCGCTGCCTGCTGGTACGGATTTCCTGGTATTAATCAGGACTAGCGATCTCGACGATATCCAGTATCGGACAGTCAGCACTGAATGCCGCTAGCAAAGTTCCTTCCGCATTTTTCCGTGATTCATCCACGTGCTCGTTACAAGTACAGTATTGTTGAGCTAGCTCAGATCGATACCGCATAACTACGGTAGATCTCCGAAGATGGTGGGTTGGCATGCCTCTTGCTGAATTGCGAGAGCCTGAAGTGAGTCGAACTGTCAGGCGTGCACGCATCATAACGTGACTGCAATCAAGTTGTGTGCCCAAAAGACAAGGCAGTATGAATTTTGGCTCTACATCGGTGACCGGTCCAACTGAGCTCACGGCTGATTTGTAGTTGGTGGCCGCCAGGTTACGCGAATCGAACTTTACGCTGAAAGTTCGTACTGGCCAGAGACAGTTGGTGATCAGCACACAAACGGAGGCGTTCTGTGCGACGAGCAACGACTCCGAATCGACCGCCCAGATGTGATTCCAAGGAGCTCAAACGACCGAATCGGGCATTCATATCGCCCGCAAGGATCAGAGTCAGTGCTTCTTGCTCGACGAACGGATCCAGATAAATCTCAATAGAAAGTATCCTTCTCTAAGTCAGAAGTGTAATCCGTTGGGGCATATGCCAACACTACGAACGGCCACCGCTTCTATGTCGAGAGTCATTGCGCTTGACTGAGCCTGTTGACTCCTCCTGGGGATCAACGGTGATCAGCGGCTATTTTTGCGTTCCGACTACTCATGAGTAGTGAGATTTACGCCCGTCTATCGCAACGCCGCTTTAGTTTCCTTGCTGCTCGCTCCCAGTTTTTGCTTCTAATTGGGGCTGATTCTAGTAACTGATGTCAATATTTCATCGCCTGCCCGTTTTCACTTGCAAGTTCGTATCAGCTGTACCTATTTTCGAGTGTTCACTCCGACGGGAAAACGGACCGCCAGGGGATCGCAGTCTGAGCTCCTCGGACAGTACCGCCTCAGTGCGCCACCGCATCTGCCAGTGAGCCTCTTTTGAGATTTGTTTTAAACGGACCCAAGCGCAGAATCCGATTTGGCACGCAGCTACTTCGCACTGTCAGCCAAGGACAGTTCCTTATCTCCCGAACGTACTGATTGTTTTCTGCGCCGTTATCTTTCTATACGACCAATTGATACTGACTGACTGCCCATATCTGCAAGTTTTTGATTGGTAAGCGAACGGTAGAAATATGTCTGCAACTGACCGACGCTGACAATAAGATAAGCCTAGTGAAGAACACATCGCGGGTGGAATAGGTATCAGAAAAGTAGTTAGAAACTGATGCGGTTTTAACGGTAGACTTAATTCAAACCCAGCTGAATGCCTCGTTCGTAATGTACTTCAAATGAACAAAAGCCAACTCATATTTCAGTCCGTACAATATTTGAGACATTGAAGTATATTAGTATAATGATAACAACAATATATTAGTAAAAAGAAACACGTGATTGCACATAGGTGCGATTTACTGAATGCAGGTGGAGTGCACACAACATATGACTCACCTGTGTGCGGTTCCTATTCACAGTCGTCCTCGTCAACCCTTTGATCTGATCCGCAGTTAAGAGCAAAATAACTTCCGGTTCGACAAAAGGTTCTAAAACAAGGTTGGATTCTGTGGGACCAAGAAGGGGGAGAAGCGTATGATAAGACAAAAAAGTAAACAACTAACTTGCAGTGCTGTGTCCAAAAAGTTAACGATATACATGACTAGTGGAACCATAACAAACTGGTAACTCACCTAACGGAAATGAGCCTAACGGTAAAGTTACAAACCTCTCCAGTCTCCGAACAGGATGGGACAACATGTCTGATTAATCGCACCGATACATGCTACTTTTTCTACGGCACACCTCTTCAACAGGCCTTTATCCTCGAGTCGTTTTCCATGTCTGACGGTCAAAGCCACTTTTGACACAAGATAAACGATAAAAGATGAGCTCCGAAAGTTAATACGAATTCTATCGCCTGAGTAATAAAGCTCATCTGGCTTTTACAGCACACATCACAACGAGTTGTTCGCCGGTGGGATCTATTAAGTAGAAGTATCAGGAAGACTCATATTCTGCCCTGATAACAGAACGAAGTAGAGATGCCTTGCAGTCTGAAAACTTTGACCCTGATACTTGCCCGAACTTCAGAAGCGACAACCAACTAACGGCTTGTCTCACCTGGAATTCAAAAAAATCCTGTTCATTCTGAGTGGTTGTGACAGACACTGCTGATTCACTGCGAAAAACGCGAAGCCAACTATTTCACCACCAGCAGCACAGTAATCCATTGTACGAGAGTTTATCATAGGAAGGTCCTGCTTCCATTTTAGGCTCGCAATTCATCGACACTACCCGTTGGACAATCCAACCATGAAATAAAACGAAAGTGGTGATTTCACGTTGGGTTAACTCAATGACTAATGGGAAATAGGCAGCAACGTGAGCGCAATTGTTTTGCTTTCGAATCACTTTAAGTTACTGCGGCAGTCTAGCTTCGGGTTGTTAGGGAATCTATCTACTGTTGACAACAGCCTTCCCGTCTTCTGGACGAAGTTGAGGGTCACCAAGTCAGGAAAGCTGTCCCAGAGAAAATTTGCCCAACTCCACGGGTTTGATGAGGAAAAAAATCCGGCGTTCGGACTCCTAATAAAGCCCCTGTTCTATTTTCATTGTAGCAGAATTACAGCACAGACTGGCTGGAAT